GTGTGACGCGAGATTAATATTAAAAGAGGGAGCGCGATTGACAGACGCGCTAGTTGCTTGGTGTCCTTGAGTCGTGGGCAGCATTTATGGGGGGCTTTTCTGTGCACCACAAGGCCCACACCACACGGCTGCGTGCGCCGGCCATCCACCCAGCTGTACTAGTACTAGTAGCTGCCTACAGGCAGCGGATCTTCTTCTTTTTTTTAATTATTTCTTGGGTTTAATATCTGTGCACATTTTCCATCACACACGCTCTGAAAGAAAGAAAAAAAGAATCATATATACGTAGTACTGCTATCTGTTGCTATCATCATAAATATACTTGTCTGAATCTAATTTTCTATATATCGTGATGATGAATCAAGGGGTGAAGTCAATGGTGGAGGAATAGATGAGATGAGCAAGTTAGGTGCACAAGCTAGCACAATCGCATGCGATCTGTGGCTGAATTTTCTTGGGCTCCCTGGCACACGTACGTGATTAGAAAATAATAATGCACGCTGTAGTGTTCGAGTAGAGTTGAAAGCGGCGAGCCCGATCTGAAACAGGGCACACGAGCTTTTACCGGCCGGCCGGTCAGTCGGTTTCAGTTCCTTGGGTTTTCTCAGTTCCGATCCCTGGGTTTCACTTCCTTCGCTTGGGAAAAAAGGAAAACGAGGGGTCGTGCGAAGCAAGCAGGTTTGGAAACGACACAGGCAGCGGTGGGCGGGTCAACCACAACCACAACCAGTACCACCTGTACGTTGGGTGTTGGCTGGGCAGATGAGCAAAGTATGACAGGTCCGGCCATCAACGCCAAAAGCGATGGCCGGACGGCCTGACGGCCAAGAACCACCGTACAAGGGGTACCACTTGGGGCATATCATATGCAGCCGGCTCTGTGCCAGAGGGAAGCAAATGGCGACGAGAAGCTCTAGTTAACAGTGGCGATGACTCATTTGTCTACAGCAGGCTGCTCCATCTTGAGGTCTTGACATGCATGCCAATAATCAGCATATGATTCTCAGAGTTCCTGATCTTAGGTAGCTACAGGTTGGTGTTCATTCTGATCGAGGCCCAATTATGATTTGGCTACTAATAATAGCAGTAATAGTACTTACAATTACCGTAACTGTAAGTACTGTTACTAATTAACTATGTTATGTGTTCGTTGTGGATCCCATTCAGATTCAGGCAAGGCCAAGACATATGCTATGCTATGGTAGCCATATGACTGACGACTCACGAGCAATGGATGGATGGAATCATGGAACAGAGAGAGCGGACGAACCTTGCAGGAAGGGTCCTGGGCCTGGGTGACGGCCCTCAGCTCCGCCACCTGCTTCCACTCCGCCGCGTCGCCGTCGCTCGCCACCTGCTGCTGCTGCTGGCGCTCCGCCATGGCCGACGACCTCAGCTATTACGGATGGATGGGAGAGGTGGACGAAATATATGGGCGACGGGAGCCGGAGACCCGGGCGCGCAGCCGCAGGGGAGGGGGGGTTTATAGGAGGAGGAGCGGGCCGGCTGCGGCGGCCTCCAGGCTCCAGCTCTTCGATCTCAACGACACGAGAGACGAGCTGAGCTGTGCTGTGCGCCCGCCGCCGGCCCCCGGGTGAAAACGAAACGAAATTGCTGTTGCCCGGCCGCCCTCCTATTTATGGCACTGCCTCACCTGATTCTTCTCCTCTCAAAAAAAAATGTATAGGTTTCTGATCAAACTTTTTTTAATCATTATTAAGTAAATTTATAAAATAATATTATTAACATCTACATATTTAAATAAAAATTATTATAAAATATATATTCAACAATTCATCTGATAGTACTAATTATACGACATAAGTATATTAATATGTCCTGGTGTATATGCGGTCAAAATTTGAAGGAAAAAAAACTGCACGGGCAAGCCATGACCCATGAGTAACCATAACATCGATCGTTAGGTTATCTATAAAAGACTATAAATCTATAAAAAGACTATCAATTTGAGGAACTGTTCGTCCGACGCAGTAACGGATCAGATGAACAGTATCCGACCCGATAAAGAACAGTACCACATAAACAGTATGGATCAGATGAACAGTATCCGATCCGATAAGGAACTGTACCACCTTTTTACTCACAACGTCCACTGTTGCCCGCGCGAAGCGCGGAGTTACCTGCTAGTTATTACTACATACCGTAAGTGTTTTAATCATTTCACATATATTTCTCTGCACTTATTTTAAAAAATGAGTGTTCCGCGTTGCGATCGATTCTTTGGTAGAGCTAAACATCAGAACTGCAGAACACTGATGGGTTAGCGTTCAACGGTGAAGGCAAAGTCGTCGATTATGCCATATACCATATGGAACTTCGAAGCTCAGCTTTGTGACCTTTTTCTTGGTTGGAGATTTTTTTTTGGTGTTTCAAAAAAAAAAGGTTCGTTCTCTTCGCCCCCTTTCTTTTCCACCAGAAATAAATCAAGACGCACGCCGTCGAAGGTCTCCTTGTCTGATTTCTATCGGTCTTGGTCCGATATTTACCTTGTAGAGGGAACCAAACAGCAGGTGGTCCTGCATGAATTGAACCTAGCTAGCTATAGTAGGCCTTCTGGTGCCGGTAGTGAATCAATGGCAGTAATTAGGATTAGGACTAGCTAGTGCACGTACTGTCGACACATTGACGAGGGGCGACTGTGCTCGATGCTCATTCATAGCCTATGCAGCACCGGCTTCACTAGTCCTGGGATATGATGTTCCCATCGAATTGGCCTGCTGTCGGCGACCTTGCGTAGATTTTTTTTTCTTCTCTATTAGTTAACCCACTCAATCATTCTGACTTTTTTTCCTTTTTTTAATAATGAATCTGGCTTTTTCTTTAACCCATACCCACCACGAGTGAGCAACTCAGCTGTGAGGATTTGCCGTGTGTGCTGCAAACAACGAAAGCTGCTCTGATGATCAAGACGTACACAAATTTAGGGTTTTCGTACGTACGTACTACTTGTGTCAAGGTCTTCCTTAGCTTTTGTTTCTGTCCCTTTCTCTATGGTATCACCCAAGTCATACTGGTACGTACAGAAGCCAGAAAGCCTGCAGTCAATTCTACTCCCTCTGGTATCATAAAAGACATGCAATCGTAGGTTTAAGACAAGTCATTTTTTTATGTTTGATTATTTTTTTATAGGAAATAAATTAGTATTCGTAATTAATCTAATGACACTTATTTGGCATAAAAGATAATATTAGCGTTTTTATAAGTTTAGTCAAATTTGAATTTATCTGGTTTCTCAAAAAATGAGAATTATATATTTTTTAGAATGATTGAGTCGTACTAGGTGCCTAGTAGGTGGGATGAGGCCCTATTGGGATTCGCGGACGTGGGATTTTCGCTGTTTCTGGGTTTGATTTATTGTGAAAATGGGCCTGTTCGCTGGTTTGGGCTGGTTGGTGCTGGTTTTTTTTAAGAGAAAAATACTGTTGGCTGACTGGCTTGGGCTGGCTGAAACCAACAAACGAACTAGCTGAATGAATTGATTCCCATGAAATTCATATGAAATTCGTGAAGTTCTAAACAAGCCTTGACTTTGGTGGTGCAGCGGTGGTAGTGTTCGTGTGAAGGTATTTATTTTCTTTCGTCTCAGTCTATGTAAGATGGAGACGTAGTCAAATCTATGGATATTTAGAGCCTGTTTAGTTCCTAAAATTTTGCAAAATTTTTTAAGATTTCTCGTCACATCGAATCTTTGGACGCATGCATGAAGCATTAAATATAAATAAAAAATAAAACTAATTACACAGTTTAGACGAAATTCACGAGACGAATCTTTTAAGCCTAATTAGACTATAATTGGACACTAATTGCCAAATAACAACGAAAGTGCTACAGTACCATTTCCCAAAAAAAATCGCCAACTAAACCACCCCTTACAGAAAATTAGTGATCGAGGTTACTACTCCATCTGTCGTGAAAAAGATGTAATTATAGCATAGTGCTACATCAAACCATCCCAAAAGTTAATGGGATTCATATAAACAAAAAGATCCTCCGTAAAGTAAGCGTCCTTAGACTCGTCATTGAATTTATTTCTTAGTACACTTATTTAGACTCATAACTATTGATAATGCTTTCTGTAATAAATATAGTCAAATTTAAGGCAAGTTGGGATTCCTCTCGTCTCTGCCCCGGCTCCGCCTCCATGCTACATATAGTCAATGTCCTAGAGCCGAAGAAGCAAAAAGAGAGAGAGAGAGAGAGAGAGAGAGAGAGCCTGAATCACCGTGTAGTGTAGGATGGAATGACGACGCGCGGAATAGAATCCTGTCGCTACACTACCCTCCTGTTCTTTCAGTCAGTGCCAGGCTACTTCTTTCATCAATCAATCATAGACTCTGAATGGATCCTAGGCTCGCAACAAATATGCGCAGGAATCCACAGTCTGAAGTTGTTTTGGCCACACATAGACTGTAGAAAACTTGGAATCTGCCTACAATGCAACATGAGTCCTCCTCCTACACAATAATAACACAAATCACAGCACATATTGAGCTCCCGCACACAACGGAACCATGACGAAGAATCTCATCTCAAACCACGACTCGCCTCTCTGCTTCTTCTCCCATCTCATACAGATACAGAGATGCAGTGTTCCTTGGCGTCCTGATCTACTTACTTTCCAGGCCTATGACTGCGCCCAATTTTGAGGTGGGTTCACTGTCTGGGGTTTACGCAGGCCACACCAAAAATGTCACACGTTACATGACATGGGATTTGGGATCCAATCCAATCCAATGCAATGCAACGCTACTCCATCAGTTTTGTACGCCTCGCTTCATTTGGTCAGAGATAACAAGACACAGGCAAAACATTGCTGCACAAGAGGCAATGGTAAATGCGGGCATGTGTCATGTATGAAAGGCATAGTCACCCTGTTTACACCGCATCTCCATGCCCAAATAGGCCAAGGCGGCAAGGCCGTACCGGGTCCGGGGACCAGGACGACAACATGCATGGCCGCAAGACGAGTCATCGAGTCCTCACAGCACGCTCCTGGGGATGAAGCTGCTGCCATGATGCCCATCAGAGATCTTGGTTGTGGTCTCGGCAGCCAGCCCACCGTCCTTGGTGAAGCAGTACTCCGGGGCCTGCCACGCCGCGTCCTCTAGCACGGCTCCCACCTCAAAGCTCATCACATAGGCGATCCTACCTGCACATCGGCAAAATGCACAGAGGTTACAGTACAGAAGAAAGCGGGTGCTCGCCCAGAGATCTCATGGTGACTTCAGCTGGCACCCGTATATATCTGTGGTTATTATCACTGGACCGCAAGGCAAGTTATAGTGTTTGTTCCTCCTTCATTTGGGGGCCGGGCTGCAGAGCCTAACAAGAAGCGTGCCAAGATCTGTCGTGCACGAAATAAGTGCTTACTTGGCTGTCATGGTAAAGTGTCATATCCGTCCTAACACTCAGCTGTAAGCCAACTAGTGCCAGTAGTTCAGGGACAGCAATATGAGTGTGGCGATGCTGTTATGAAAAAAAAAGGAGTGTGGCAATGCTGACTAGCTTAGCACCAAAGGAGTAAACAAGAAGTATAGCTTCATTTGATTTTTTTCTGGACTCCTGAGCATGGCAAATTTAGTTGAATTTACTTGCTGTATCACTTTGGTGACACCTTAACCAAGCTAACTTCACAACAAGAATTTGATATAATAAACAATACAGAAAGATTTCACGCAAAGGCAATACAGAAAGACCTCTGCTACTTCAAGTGACAGCTAGATGGTCCTCATGCCATAACCAAGCTAACTTGGAAAAAAAAAACAATGACACACTTGGTTATACTTTACATCTTCTACTTTAATAATAAGGGGCAGCTAAAAGAGGTAGAAGCTAACACTATGTTTATCATTGAAGAAATGACAGATAGGTTGATGCCCAGCGATAATGAGGGGTCTCAGACTAGCATAGACAGTGCTGTCCACTATCCCAATGTTTTGGACAGCTCTGCATACCCTTCGTAAGATGACATTAAAAAAAAAGTAGGCCTACAACAAGAACTTTCTGTAGGGGCATGTTACAACCAATGTACATGGGTCAGTGCTTCGCTGAATGGAAGCATGCACATAAATGCTAACATGATTGAGGGTCAGCTACCACAAAATTTGGACGAATTTCAATATCAAGTAGGTTTGTGGGCCAAACCTCCTAAACAAAGTTCTTCAGAATCACACAGTTTACAGTACTTGGTGATTGTCTTCAAGTCTGACAGCAAAAATGACAAAATGGGTAAAACAATTGGAGCAAATGCAACTGGTAATAGTCCAAAGATGACCTACAATCCTAGATATTCCTGAAACAACAAGCATGCTGTGACATGGAGAAAACAAGACACTGAGTAAATAGTGAAAACATTCCTCTGGGTCTTGCTGGCCATTTTGATTCAAGTGGCGTATTTACTGGGTACAATTTAATTCCAAATTAAGCTAGCTCAATCCCACTTCATTCAAACAAGACAGCTATGGTTCTGGAAAGAATAATGTGACAATGTGCCTTCCTGTGATTTTCCAAATGGCGCTTGATGCACAAGCTTATAGACAGACAAGCCAGAGGTTTCTAAATGTAACACCTTAACCAAGTTAATTAACTTCAAAATAAGACTGTGATGCAATAAGCAATACAGAAAGACATCTGTAACATTGAGGGACAACTAGATGGTCTTCACACCTTAACCAAGCTAACTTGGAAAAAAATGTGACAGACTTGACACTTGTTTATAATTTACATCTTTTACTTTGGCGGACAACCAAAAGTGGTAGAAGCCCAGACAAGATTTATCAATGAAGAATGACAGATAGGTTGATGCCCAATGGTGAGTCTGATAATTGCATACACTGTATTTTCCATTATCCCGCCCTTTTAGACAGCTCTGCATGCCCTTTGTAAGATGACACTAAAACAACAAGCTAGACCTACAACTATAAGAGCTTCAGTGCTTGATTTTGAATGGGAACGACCAATATTCATGGGTCAGTGCTTGGCTGAAAGGAAGCATGCACATAAACACAAATTGATCGGGGACCAGCTAGCAGCTACCACAAAATGTGGACAGGTTTCAAATCAAGTAAGTTTAAGGGGCCAAAGTTGCTAACAATGTTGTTCAGAAACACATTTTCTACTACTTGGTGATTGTCTTCAAGCCTGTTAGTGAGACTGAGGAAATGGGAAATAAATTGGAGCAAATGCGACTGATAATAGTCCAGAGATGACCTAGATATTCCTAAACGAACAAGTGCATGTGCATGCATTGGCTTGGAACTAAAACAAGACGCTGAGTGAATAGTGGAGACATCCCTCTGGCTCTTGCTGTCCATTTTGATTAAATTGGACTATTTATTGGGAATTAGTTTACATCTAAAATAAATGCTACTGGAAGGTATGATACTGGGCGTAATAATGAGACCAACCTTCTGGTAAATTTTCATATGGTGCTTGGTGCACAAAGTTTATAGACATAGAAGCGCCAGACCTCATGAATAAAATTCAGTCTTCTAGAAGACGTTGGCAAGAAATAAAATTCACACTTCTAAAAGATGTAGGCAGAAATGAAATTCAAGTCTTCATTTACTTATTTATTAGGCCACACCATCACCACTGTCCAGTATAGGGTGCACTGCTTTTTGTAAATTGGGATCTCTTTGATGTCCTTTCTGTAAGATAGACTTAATCTGTGAATGAAGTATAATTAATATATAAAAAATTGCATAATGTGAGGAGGGTACCATTGATCCTTGGAAGGAAAGCATTCCACCCAAGTTAGAAGAGTAGTACTACTATACAATAGTTGGTCAAGAGATTTTAGGTGGCACCATGCCATGCAGATTCAATCTCCTAGTCTCCTTGATGTGTTATAATTCCTCCAATTTGGGTCCTGCCCACCCTAATTAAGCTGTACAACAGTAACAATGTACCAGCATTTGAAACATTGCCTTTTTCTATAATCAAGTAGATTAAGCATTCCCATTGTTTTTTAACTATAAACGATTAAACGGGGAACTAGAGATCATGTAAGCTCAATGTTGCATGTAGGATCCTGCAAATTCGCTCCTGCCGCCTTCAAAAGTCAAAACGGCACGCCAATTGTGTTCGAGAAGGAAGGGAAATCAATGAAATCCACAAGCTACCTGTGTAGAAGACCCACTTGACGGGCCGCTTGGTCTTGACGTCCTCGTAGTAGGTGATGAAGTCGGCCTTGGCTCAGACGTGGCAGTCGAATCCGCCGGCGTCGCGGCGGCCGAGGTAGACGGCGCCAGGCCGGAGCCAGTCGGGGCGGAGAATGCCCACCCCGACGGCGGCGGAGCGGCAGGTGCGGCGCGCCGGCGTGTAGAAGAAAGAGGTGCCGTTGTTCCACTCGTTATCGTAGTAGGGCGCGTCGGCGGCGAGCTGGTAGCGGATGACGTGCAGGTTGCGGCCGCCCGGCCAGTCGTACCAGAGGTCGGCCACGGACATGTTGCCGTGGTAGTCCATGACCAGCGTCGCGTGGAACTGCGGGGGCCATGGGGTCGGGGTCGGGTCAGCGGCGGCGGGTGGGGTCGCCGGGAGCCAGAGGAAGAGGAGAAGGACGGCGACGGCGACGGTGACGGCGACGGCGACGGGGAGGTGAGGCGGCGTCATCTCCGTCGCCGTGGTGGTAGTGGACTGGTGGTGGTAGTTGGTCAGAGGCTCGCAGTGCCAGTGGCTGGCTGCGGAGATAGGCAGAGCGCGGGGGCCGGTGGGTCAAAAAGCCTAAAACCAATAAAATTATGAGAAAAATGACAACCCACTATTTAATGAAAATAATCCATTCTATCTTCAGCCTGTTCGGGAAACCATATCATATCATGAATTATTTACTGCTGGCTGGTTTGGTGTGAAAGAAAAACATTATTCCCTGCTGGAAATTTACAATCGTTTACGAGCAAGCGAATAGGCTTAAGCTATCACCGTACTCTGTATTTTTCCATGAACTCTAAAATCAAACATTGCACTGTATTAACTCTAAAAATCATTCAAATTACTTCGTTGCCCAAGCGGTCTTGGAGGCAGTTTTTCTTTTTGGTTAGAAAATGTAATAAATACTTAATATGGTTTTTAAACCACAAAAAATGTTTCCAAACTTCTAAAAAATCCAAACTAAAAATATAGCGATACATTGCATTATGATGAATTTGAATAAAATATTTAGAGCCCATGAAAATATATCTACAAGCCTCCAAAGGCACAATCCAGGCGTTTAGATTGAAGATTAATGAATCTGCTGGTTATAATAGCTAGCTTCAGTTGTATTTGTTATTTTGTGCTTGTGGTCCACATGAATTGCAATAAAATTTACAATAATATGAATATTTTCAAGGCAGTAAAAATGACGCCTTTGTGTTGCCTATGTTGGCTCGACCAGGCGGACATTGTAGTCACGCTTAGAAGAACCAAAGGGTTATGTGTGAATTTATAGCATTAAATGTAACACCTCGGTGTTAAGCATGCACTAACATTCCATCCTATGAACATAATCATCATCACCTCATGCATAAGCATCATTCACGCATTCCATTTCGAAAGAAATGAAGTATCATTTCATGTGATGCTTAAGTTGATTGAAAATTTATTCATGTTTCAAACGACGTGAAATGCCATGCTCATGTTTGGATGCCATGGTTCTTGTTTTGATCACTAAGATAGCTTATAAATGTTTAGGATACAAATTGGAGCCAAGTTCATATTCAAAGTTTTGCCAAATTTTGCTTTTAAACAATTCTTCAAAATTAGAGTTTTGAATTAATATTGATGTTTATTTTGTAATTCAAAATCTATTTGGAATTGGACTGTGGTCATAAAAGCAAAGTTGTAGATCTTGAAAAATGGAACAACTTTCACTTTTACACCAACTTTTAAAACTGTTTTGAAATTGCTCAAAATTTTGCATTGAAGGAAATGGGGATAGAAAATAAATTAAAAAAAATCGCATTTCACTTGAATGGGCATGACCTACTTTCGGCCTAGCCACTCACGCCGGCTGCCCTGCTTTAGCGCCAGCACGCCTTGTTCAAATACGCCGCGGACCGACCGCGTCGAAGCGCAGGCCATGTGGCTCGCCATCTTGGGCGGACGATGATGCATGGCAAACCGACCGCCTCGCCGCTCTCTGTCGTGCCTTCACCTTCCCGACCGCGCTGCGCTCCTTCTCACTCCCCACTCCACTCTCTCGCTCGCCAAGAAGCAACCTAGCCAAGAGGCCTTCGCTCACCGCAGCACCATCATCAAGGCATAGCTGTTCCGCCACGCCGACCACCGGAGCTCGCTACATCTTCGCTACGCCTTCGCCCCGGTCTCGCGCAGCTCGTGCTCATCACAGTTCGGCGTGGTAAGGCCCGAGCCGGCCGCTATTGCTCGCCGGAGCACGGCCGAGCTCACCGGTGAGCTTCGCTCCCGTGGACTTCCCCGCTCTGCTTCCTTGCCCGCCTTTCTTTCTCGCGCACGAGCACCGCACTGCACCGTTGAGTCTCCCGAGCACCTCCTCTAGCCCTGCCATGGCCGGAGATGCTCCACCGGCGACGACCCATGCTGCCGCTCCGCCATGCACGGCAGCGGTCGGCTTTTCGTGCTCTTTGGCCCATGCCACGAGCACCACGGGGTTCGCGCGGGTGTGGGGAGCACGCCGGTCACCTTCACCGGACCAAAGACCTCACCGTCGACGAGCTCTCGCCGCCGGTGATCTCCTCTGTTTTGGTTCGGCTGGCAGGTGGGGTCCCACTGAAACCCGGGCCCATTTGTCTGTCCCTATGTGTGCACACGCGTGTTCAGATCCGGGTGCGCCCAGCATTTTCGTCGGCTGGTTTTAAAAAGGATTTAAGAAATGCTTTTTCAGAATTCTGTTAAATGCTTTGGAAATTATAACTTGCTCAAATTTGCTCCAAATTTGTTGAAACAAATTTTGTTGTGTTCCTTGTCACCAGATCTACATGATAAAAATATTGCATGTCATTTTTAAGATACTTTTCTGTAGAGCTTTATTTAATCCTTGATATTGCTGATATCTTGTAAAATGTGTAGTAAAACCTATATGTATCAGAAAAATATGCTTCCAAGTTTGTTACTCTTCTTGTATAATGTACTTCCTAGGAAAAATATATGCCATGCATGTCCTGTAGAAAAATTGTGAAAAGTAGTTCAAGTGCCTTTAATGGCTGATTTTTGTTATTTTTGCTAGAGAGCAAAATTTGTATAAAACAAGCATGTGATAATTTTTGTACAGTGATTATTTGCTGTGTATAACATAGGAAAAATATTACATCTATTATTTGACACTTTTCATAATACAAAGTATTTTCATGCTCATAATTAGTCCAAGCTTGTCATTTTTGTGTAGGCTATTCCACTTATCCAAATGCCATAAAAATCTGATGGTAGACTACTTAGGGTAGTACCGTGTTATGGTAATTTTCTAAGATTTTTCTAAGCTATAAAAATAGATGTTGCTATTCAAACCTATTATTAATTAGGGTTTAATCAAATGTTGCTTTATGCATGATTAAGGAATTAGTGAAGCTTTGGTGTATCTTTGAAGCATTTAATGAGATGTGTTGACTTAGCATATTAGTAGTAGAAGAGAATGCAGTAGATGACATGTGCTTGTAGTACATGTTCTTGGATGATGTTGACTACCTTGCATTCAAGCATATCCATTGTGCTCATTTCATCCGATGCACCTTTTGCATAAGCACTTACGCACATGCATCATACAGGATCACAAACCGAGAACCCAGTCGCCATACCCGAGGAGCCCGAGGAACAGCTCGAGGTGTAGCCGCAGGAAGTGACCGAAGCAGACGAGGAGGACGTTGAGGAACTTTCGGAGTGCCCCGATCACCGCCCAAGCTCCTTCGAGAGAGGCAAGCCCCGGAGTATTTTCTCCCCGGTTTGCAATTATTAATTAAATGCTTTATTTTAATTGATGCATTACGTTCAGGAGTTGTTTGCAACCGTTGCTGCATTATACCTTGTCTACCTTTGTTATACTATATCCTTGTTACCCTGGTATCCGCAGTCGAGTCAATGCTTAGCTAGCTTAGACCGGTAGAAGTCGGGTGATTTCCTGTCACCTGCGAGCTATAGATGGTTACCTGGATCTGCTTGGAGAACTATGTAGTCATGGTATAACTAAGTGTTAAATGAAGTTGAGACCGGACGGAGACTTACAGAGTTTTGGATTGTAGTGCTTTCCGTCTGTGTCGATTAAGGACCGACTGTTGTTGGGCCTCAGGTCATGTTGAACGTATGCCTTACATTTAGCTGGCCGAATAAAGTACCTTTCGACTGCGAAGCTGGGAGATTATTCGGGCCGAGTAGATTGCCCGCAGCGCACTGTGCCGGAGCAGATGTGGTAGGACACGAGGGCGCGATGATAAGACCAAAGGGCAGTCGGTTAGCCCCCGGGTACATGTGGTTCCTAGCAAACTCGAGATTCCTAGATAGTTGACTCGGTGACTGATACCTCACTTTAGCGGGTGAGTGAGGTTTGTGTAAGGAATAAATCATCAGCTGGTTAGGAATCGATTCGAATCGCCATCGCTCCTGGATAGTGAGCACTTGACTTGAGTGAGTTCATCGTAGTAATGTTGATGGAACACTTGGACAGTTATAATGAATATGACATTATGAAAGTTGTTAATGATCATTGGTTATCATTATTTGTTTAATCACATGTTTGCTCTAGTATAGGTGCAAATGTAGTCGACATGTTAATAATAATTAACTTGACAATAATGCTTTTAGAAAGGTTCTTGAAATACTAAAAATGCCACTTTCTGCAAATGAGTCAGCTACTCTACTATAAAGCCCTTCATAATCCTTGATGTCACTTTATTTTTGGTTATGTCGGGTAAGTCTAGCTGAGTACCTTCTCATACTCAGGGTTTTATTCCCACTTGTTGCAGATAGGCAGATGTATTACGGCTACTGTATTAACTGCCTTTATCCTACGATGGGTGATGCTTAGGACCATGGGCATGGTCATTCCTTACGTCTCGTCTGATGTTTTTGTTGGAGATGATCATTAGCTGGCACTGTATTTGAACTCCGTGTGAGTGTGTGTGGTTTTGAACAAATAGCTTCCGCTACTTCTATTTGAACTCGTTTTGTAATAACTATGTTTAAGCTCTGATGTATCTGAGATGCAAACTTTTATGTAATATGTGATGGTGACCACTAAACTTATTACGATTTTGGCTGGTATGTGAGTTGGTTTGAAATCCTTCGTGATTTCACGGACTACCGGGTTATATGGGCTTAAGTTTGCTAAATCGTCTGCTCTGGCGGATGATTTTCTTACTTAATTTCGTATAATTGGTCGGTTTTGTTACAGCTGGCATCAGAGCATGGTTTAGCGTGTTACTATTCACAAGTATATTTAAAACAAAAAGGCATTTGAAAAACGTGATTTCTAAACGAAAAAGTGTGCCAGTGGTCATATCCTTTATGTCCAGTTAAGGACTCTAGGTTGCTTAATTAAGTACTGACTTGGGGTTCTTGCATCATATTTCTCTTTCGTTGCTCATACGGCGTGCTATTGTATGAGTGCCACTTGTTTGAGTGGTAGTGTATGGATCATTTGCCTCTACGCCTCGGTAAGTGTGAGT